TATAAAACAACAATCATTTCCTGTGCAACAAAAGACATATACCTAATCTAATTTTATCTCTAAGCTCTATTAAATATTAAGGTTGTGTTGAATTTTTGGAGAAATCTGTTGGTATGTCATATGGAGATCATATGACAGCTTGTCGAAATGTGTTCGTTGAATGTTATGAAGTTATGAGCAAAAATGAGTTGTTTCTCGTTGTAATTTTTATGCAAGGGAGGTAGAGTCCTATTGTGCCTACATCCTTTGACGTAACTCGGCAAATATGGCATTATTATATCCGATATATAAAAATTTCATAGATTTGGTCATGTAAAAAATCACAGCTGTCATGACCTGTATGATTATTTAGCATTTTATGAAATGTATCTTAGAAAACAAATCCGGATTCTAGTCGATCTTCGATAGTTCTAAGCCAAAATTTTGAAATCAGAATTTATAGGCTATAAAGGTTGCTCGAATTTGTATGTATGAACCATAACATATAACCTTTTCCTTCTATTTCATGTAGAAAATGAATACTGAGAATTATATGGAGAAAGGGTCATAAATGACTCTCATTTATTTGAATCCGGTGTCTGCAACCTTTATTTGAATTTCATATAATTTTGGTCAATTTTCTCGAACAATGGTATTTGAGTAGGAAAATTCTGTATTATTACACGGGGTATTATGAAGTTCTACATTAATCATAGGGAAAACAAAGAGCCAGTTATATTAAGGGATCTGTGTATACTATATATTTAGTTCAGTAAATCATAGCGGAAAAATAACAAAAGGAGAAAACAGATTTATTTACCCATGCTAACTTTTAGATTAAGCTCGTCAGATCGGTTCTAATGTAGAATTATTGCTTTATGATTGTCAACCAGGACGAGACTTGTTAAAGTACTTGGCACACCTGAAATAAAATGGAGAAAAAAAAAATTCTCAGTTTTTGCTGTTGCATAATGTTGTGTTTTCATTTCGAAACATGAACCAATACATGCAAGGAATATTTGAATTATGTTTCCTGGTCAAGGCCAATCTCTTTGAACGATAAAAAATCATTTTGTTTGAACAAAAATTCTGGTATGATTTATTAACATGTATTATCAATATGGTACATCTGTAAAATTAATGTTTAAGAATTATATGAAGTGAAAAAATGAAGAATATATTTGAGAATTGCATTCGATAAATTTGGTTGCATTTATATTCTGGTGAGGAATATGTACCCTTTCTTTCAACATGATTTCTACTAATGTAACAATGTATTTTGCCGCACTGAAACATAAAATGAAATATTATTAAGAGATTGCTTGATATAAGCACTTCAGCCTCCTCTGTCCATAGGGACGTCTTTTATTGCCGATTTGCTTTCAAATTCTATCCAAGCATGAATTATTTTCTGATTCAGTTCTCTATTTTCATTACACTGTATTTCGTATGCTTCACATCTTCTAGCTTTTTTCATTTTGGATGTTTTGACATTTTGATTATGGAGTCTATTATAATTCCCATCGGTTTCGCTGTCTAAAATGACCAATTAATTTCACTGTATTTAAAATGTGATATTTTTAGCATCACATTTGACATTGTGATGGCGAGATTTTTTTCTAGATAATCACTTTGGCCATAAAATAACAAATGCCGCTAGTTACTTAAATATTTTATCTCTGTTATATCAGAATATGCTGTAGTGTGGTGATAAAGTGAACTTTTTAGAAAATGGATTGAAGTGATGTAAAAGCGGAAGACTTAGATGATGAAAAGTTGCTCATTTCGACTATTAAATTGAAAAGAAAGATTTGGTAACTTCCGTATATGATTATGTACGTAATTAAATCAGCAGTAAATTGCAATGAGATATGTATTTGCTTCAGTTTGAGGAACCAGCAAAATTGTCTTAATTGGTTCAAATGTATAACTTTTAATTGCATCAAAGCAAATAGAACAGAAATTGACTTTAAAATATGACCGAAACCTCAACCTGTCTGAACATTAAGTTTATTTTTATAAATCAGCGAGATAAATGTAAAATTTTTGATAATTTGATTCAATTTCAGGAACAAGGCAAGCTGCATTTTGCTTAATAGCAATTTGAATATGTACTGATGCTAAAACATTTTTTGTCACTAATTTCTGTTTACCGTATAAAAAGTATTTTACACAAAAATTGTATCACCATGGTCTCAAGTCCAGAAACTATATCGCCATGGTCACAAGTGCAGAAACTATATCACCATAGTCACAAGTGCAGAAACTGTATCGCCATGGTCACAAGTGCAGAAACATTATCACCATTGTCACAAGTGCAGAAACTGTATCACCATGGTCACAAGTGCAGAAACATTATCACCATTGTCACAAGTGCAGAAACTGTATCACCATGGTCACAAGTGCAGAAACATTATCAACATTGTCACAAGTGCAGAAACTGTATCACCATGGTCACAAGTGCAGAAACATTATCACCATTGTCACAAGTACAAAAATTGTATCACCATGGTCACAAGTGCAGAAACTGTATCACCATGGTCACGAGTCCATAAACTGATCACCATGGTCACAAGTTCACGCCTCAATTACATATTACTATTTTGACTTGGATCCGTAACCCAACATGAGACAATAAACCAATGATGAATCGCAACATCTTCATATTGATGATTAGAATTCTGAATACAATACTATAGTCTGTCTCGCATATCTCCATTCAAATTCTTAGTTGATGATTTTTATTGTTCTTATCAAACAAGATTTATGCTATTTCATTAAGAGAAATGTTCTCAGAAATAGCTGCAGTTTTGTATCCCTGTCACAGGTTATGAATGTATGAATAATTACGAAAAATTCCCTTTCTGGAAACTCACATTGTATTTGATTTTTATGATCACATATTTAGCCATTAAGCAGTACAAAACACTTGATTGGGTCGTTTGATTTTGGAGATAATCTCAGGTTCGGAGGTTTTTGAGACAATATTAATGAAAATGTCATTGATTGACATAAGGAGATTTTTTGTTTTTGTAAGGTGGTTTATATTGTATTGTTAGATGTGTCAAATTTTCTTCAGATAACCTAATGAATCTATTTTCTCATTATATGCGTGGTTTTTATAGGTGTTTCTTATGAAATGTAAAGGCCTATTTTGTTCCAGAGAAATATCTCTTCCGTAAAAGAAAATTACAAGTATGCATGACTGTCTCAAATATAGATGAAGTGTAAATAGATTTTTTAAATCATTTAGTCCATTTAGATATTTAAATCTAGAAAGCTGTAATCCACAAAAGAAAACAATGGTATTAATTCCATCAAATTTTTCTGTTACTGTCACAATATTGATCAGTCTAAAAAGGAGAAATCAAATTGTTGAATTACTGACTGAGTTAGAAAAATAGGTCTTACTAAATTGGTTTTTGAATCTGTAAAAGCTCTAAAAAGGAATTATTTGTAAATAAATATATAAGAAACCAACACAGAACATTAGTTCTGTCAAGAAAACAAACAATGAGTCGACAAATGAAAAAACAAGGATTATTTATTAGAAACAAAACAATACATGTATTGCTTTTAATCTTGCTTTAAGGAAGAAAACATAAAGAATGTTTATGACAAAACAATTGCATGATGGTGACATCATCGAAATTAACCAGGCTTTAAGAGAATTTTATCATTGGAAAAAAACATTGGGTATTTATTCTTCAGGGAGTGTTTTAAGTGGTACAAAATAATGTGTCACATCTCTGCATTATTCACCTTTATTACTGCTATCTTCCCATATTGAACATAAACACAGAAATAAACCTATACTTTAAATAAATTGTTGCCATGGCGATTTTTTACCTCAATTTATGATATCTTATTAAGACAAAACCAGCTCTAAATTATTGCTCTTATTAATAAATTTTCTTATTATATTGTTGGATATCATGTCGAAAGGTCATTAGGGTGGCGAGGAGAGGAACCTTTGATTAATAATTACAGCCTTAATGGCCGATCTTAGATCACTATTTGTACATTAATGTTCCAAATACAAGTTTATAGTTAAATCATGATTGAAGCGCTTTGTACTGTTATAGATGTTTTACATGAAAATATAGGGAAATATGGAATTTATTAGCTGTTTAGGAAAATTTCTCTTTGTGCTACAAGAGAAAGTGGAATTTATTAGTACTAAAATCTTCAAAGTGACATAGTTTATAAGTCATTAGGGATATAATATCTTCTAATGAATTCAATATTTTGGTGCTTTATGCCACCAAAGTTCTTTCTTAATTAACACCCCTCCATCCCAACTCTGTTGAAGATTATTTGGTATTATATTAATTAAACTGTCTCATACTCTCTGGACTAATGGCTCATATAAAAGCGTAATACTCGTAAATAAAGTTTCTGAATCATACAAATGAGTTTTTATGTTATCACCAAGATGTGGTGACGTATTATTGCCTCCATTCAATGTTGTAACAGATTGTCACACTTTTGTAACCATTTGCAATAACTTAGCAGATGGTGACAATTTGTCGTGTTTATTACATGTATCCACTTAGACAGAATGTAAAAAAAATTGACATAAAAAAAAATATGATCACCTTTCATAAATTATATTTATGCCTTTTGTATATTTTCAGCACCAAACAAACAGAGCTGCAAAACATAGGAGCTGCAAAGCTCAGTAGCTGCAAAACATAGGAGCTGCAAGACATAGTAGCTGCAAGACATAGTCACTGCAAAACATAGTAGCTGCAAGACATAGGAGCTGTAAGACATAGTAGCTGCAAGACATAGGAGCTGCAAAGCATAGGAGTTGCAAAGCTCAGTATCTGCAAGACATAGGAGATGCAAGACATAGTAGCTGCAAGACATAGTCACTGCAAAACATAGTAGCTGCAAGACATAGGAGCTGTAAGACATAGTAGCTGCAAGACATAGGAGCTGCAAAGCATAGGAGTTGCAAAGCTCAGTATCTGCAAGACATAGGAGATGCAAGACATAGTAGCTGCAAGACATAGTCACTGCAAAACATAGTAGCTGCAAGACATAGGAGCTGTAAGACATAGTAGCTGCAAGACATAGGAGCTGCAAAGCTCCATAGCTGCAAAACACAGTAGCTGCACAACACAGCAGCTACAAATCACAGTAAAAACAAACACTTGAGTTTCAGCTACTGGAAGATCAACCAGTCAGCCTGTATCAGGCAAAACTAAGGGAGATGGTGAAGTGGAGAAATTAAACTCAGGGAGTAACTCAGCTGATAAGCTTCTCCTTCAGGATACAGTTAAGCTCATTTAGGAGACAATGGTCTGATCAGTCAACATACAAATGGACTGTAGATCTGATAACAGATACAATATTCTCCCCTTTTTGTAAACACAGGGAGTAACTCAGCTAGGCAGCTTCTCCTTTTGGAGACAATTGGTTGTTTGTTGAGTTGACATAACACAGACATACAAATGGACAATGTTTCCTCATTTGTGTAATATTTAAATGTTGCCATAACAACCATTGACCAAAGAGTTACCATGAAAAAGTTGTGACATGGTAACCATGACAGTATTATGGTGTGTGATGAGAAGGGTAACGAAACTGTGGTAGAATCTATATATTGGTTTGTTGCCATGAGAATGTGTTATCGCATGGCAACCATAAAGTGATAAAATGATTCTATGGTAACCATGATATATAGTATTAGTATAATGATACAATTGACACTGTTATGTTTCTTATTTTTCTGACCAGTTTGTTTCTACACGTTTGAATATGTATTGTTTATGATTCTTTCAGATTCTGTTGAATTTTATAAAATCTTAAATACATAAAATCAGGAAAAACAAACTGCAAATTGCATTGAAGATTGTTAAAGTGATTTCAGGTTATTTGCTAAGGTAACTACAAAAGAATTGTGTTATGTTGCTATGGTAATTTCATAAATTTCTGTCAGCTTGTTACATGGTAGCTCAAGGTTATGTGCCAAAATATTACCTTTTATATGCTAGTGCATATATTTACATGTTATTATGTACATTAAAGTTGCAATGATTGTAATTTAAGCTATATTTGAACAAAATGAACTTATCATTGACAAGATTTTGAGAAAATAAATGTGTTATGAAGAGTTCAAGGAATAGGCTATTTTTCAAACTTGTTTTAAGAAAAAAATCATGCAGCTCTTACAAAATTATTTTTATTATGAAATTTTTATTGCATTTTCTATACATGAATGCAGTTAGAAAGTTATCATGCCACATTTTATTGTGACTTTTAATGCATACATACCAGAGAAATAAAGCCTTATGTATGAGATAATATTACCTCTTTAAAATATATGTACGAGTATGTGTATTTGCAATAAGTCATTACAGTAACCAAATTGTCATTAAAATGATCTTGAATTTGAAAAGTAAATTGAGTTTTTTACTATATTGTAATATTACATATAAAATATTATAAGATATTTGTTTTGAAAGTGAATAGGTAAAGAAACACAAAAATGTTTTGCAAGGGCATGCAATGGAATAATTATAAATGGACACATCTTATCTTTCAATATGAAATGGTAAATAAAATCAGAGAACTTCATGAAATGTTCTTCACATAAACATATCCATTATGTTGACAATATTTAATGATGTATTTTATAAATAAAAAAAATATTTCTCAAAAGTACTATTTGTATATGTATATCCTGTACCTTCTGAAGTCATTATGTCACCACCAGAAATGATGACCTATTGTTGTAGGCTCCAGTTCTTTTGTGTTCGGCATCTGTAACAAATGGCAAGTGGTGACATTTTGCATGTTTGTACCTTGTTTGTACATAATATGTGGGGAATATATAGTGTATCTATAGGGATTACAGGGGGGATATTTTTGCATGTATCCCATCTGTATCCAAAACCTCCGAGAACATAAACTTTATGTATTGTTCAATACCAAGAGGTACACTCCACCATATCCAGCCCCTAGCAAGCGAGATGCAAAAGAACAAGACCTAAACGCTTCACATAATCTTCAGAAGGGCCAATGTGGCACGGTGGGACCTCCATATACTTATCACTATATGACACTCTTTGGGAGTCTAAGGAACATGTTGGCCATTGGCCCATTAGCATTTTCTTGACAGTTTTGTATTCTCATTTCGGTGCTAAACTAAGTTGAGCCCATTGCCCCCCTATTTAGAAATTCTGCATGCCAGTTAGCATTCATTCAGAAACAATCTCACATGAAGCCCCAAGATGTGATAGAAACAAGTATGTCATAAGTCCCCACCCCTTCCAGTTCAGATGTCTCCTGTATATATGAATAAGGAGTATTGCAAAAGCCAAAACTACCAATGGGATATATCAGAGAGAATCGTATAGTCCCCCTCAATTTCGGATATGTCCATAAAAATGATTCAAGAAATATTCCAAAAGAAAGTATCCTACCCTTTTTATGTCACCATCACAAGTTGTGACATATTTTAGTCTCCAGCTTTTTGTGGATGGTGTCCAGCAGATGGTGTTCAGTGTTTGGCATTCAGTGGTTGGTGTTTGGTGGTCGGTATCTGTAACAAATGACAGGTGGTGACATTTTGCAAGTTAATGCCTTGTTTAAATCAGTTCCCATGCCAAAGCTACCAACAAGACGCAACAGAAGCAATTATTGGATAAGTGGTCAACTATCCAAATATCTCCCTAGCAAGATAATCCAATTAGTAGGGGAGGAGAGGATGAATTACTGGCTTATTTGTATAAATTCATATCTTCTGGATTATATAAACCATAAGTGCTCTGATTAGCTCTCACTTCAGACCAGATTTGTTTATTAAACTAATAGACTAGATAGACATACTGGGTATCTCCATTGACCAACTTAGGGGATGTCTCAAACTACAACACCTGAATATCTAAACTTTTCTCAGAATTCTTATTCTGATGGGCTACATGTGAGAATTACTCCCAATTTGAACAAGTGTTTTTATGTTACCACCAAAAGTGGTGACATAATGTAATGGTCTCCAACTTTTTTGTGACAGCATTTGGCGGTTGACATTTGTAACAAATGGTAGGTGGTGACATTTTGCATGTTAATGCCTTGTTTCAATTTATTACAGTGTGTCCACATATACCACATTGTACTATCCATGATTACACTCTGTACTGCAGGCAATGACACATTGAATTTTTGAGAGTGACACATTGTACTGTAGAAGGTGACACATTGTGCTGTTGAGGATGAAACATTGTACTATAGAGGATGGAACATTCTACTCTACAGAATGGTGCATTGTACTGTGGAGAATGGCACATCGAACTGTGGAGTTTTATTGGATGAAACATTGTACTATAGAGATTGACACATTGTACTGTAGAGGTTGACACATTGTACTCTAGAGAGTGATGCATCATACCCTAGAGTTTGACACATTGTACTCAAGAGGATGGCACATCATACTGCAAATGGTTCCACATTGTACTGTTCAGATGAAACATTGTACTAAAGAGAATGGCACATTGTATTATAGAGGAATGAACATTGTACCATAGAGGGTGACACATTGTACTGTAGAGTATGACACATTGTACTGTTGAGGATGAAACATTGTACTATAGAAGTTGACACATTGTACTGTAGAGGTTGGCACATTGTACTCTAGAGAGTGATGCATCATACCCTAGAGTTTGACACATTGTACTCAAGAGGATGGCACATCATACTGCAAATGGTTCCACATTGTACTGTTGAGGTGAAACATTGTACTATAGAGAATGGCACCTTGTACTATAGAGGAATGAACATTGCACCATAGAGGGTGACACATTGTACTGTAGAGTATGACACATTGTAGTTTAATTGGTTACACATTGCACTATTTTAAAGTAACACATTGCAATATAGAGGATGACACCTTGTATTGTATAGGGTGACACATTGTATTTTAAAAGTTGAGACATTGTACTGTAAGAAGCCGACATTTTGCACCTGACACATTCTTATTGCACAGTAGTAGTAAACACATTTTTACCAGAGAGATGGACAAATTTACCTGTTGACCTCAAGAGCAGTATACAATTGTGTATTGCTTGAAGAGTTATTTTGTATTTTTGAGGATGTTTTTCTTCCATGGATTTCATCTTTCTGTTCTATTTTATGTCAAAACCCCATAGGAAATGTAAGAAATGACATCAATAAAATCTCAAATGTTGTCCAAGACTCATTAGAATCCCAGTCTGTCATTCCTGTCACCATTTGACAAATCATCTCTAAATTGACTCTATCTGCATGTCACAGGTTCAAATGATAATAAAGATAGACAATACAATAGATATAATGGAATTGTTAATATAGAGAAAATCAAAAGTTTAATTTAGATTTGTTTTGCATTATTAAACTCAATCAAATCCTGACCTATTACTCTAAGCTGAAAGAATTAAAGAATGATATTATGTTCCTTTTGGTGATTTTAGTTTTTTTAATGTCACCACCAGAATGGTGACATATTGTTATGTCTACAATATTTTGTGGATGGTGTTCGGTGGTTGGCATTTGGGATTCGGTGTCTGTAACAAATTCTTACAAATTTCAATAACTGGTGTTGCTTATTGTCATGTCAATGCCCTGTCTGAGTTTGAATCAGCCACTCTTCGCTCTTCTTTTCTAAATGGAACATTATATAAAATGTAAGCAAATTGCAAACAGGATTTCTCTTATATTTTCAATTTGTCTTGATATAGAGAGACAGAAGAAGAAAGGACCCACCATGGAATAAAATATTCCAACGATAAAATTTCTATTTGAAAAATAATACACAAATGAGAGGAATCAGGTGGTATTCAAATAATGTCACATTATAGTTCACACTCTAACGTGTATACAGCACCAGAAAATTGTAATCCATTGAGGACTGGGGGAGAAATTGTGCAAAACAACCATGCTTGGTTTATCCTTTAAGCATGAGCAGAGAAGATTTACACATTCAGGTCTCCCTGAATCTCTTCACTGAGTCATGAATCCTTAATCAAAGTTCCATGGATGAGCATTATATTAATTTTGTGATCACTCCCAATAGAATTGCGAACATATTCAAGCATTTTCTAAATCTTGAGGTTTCGGCCTTTATGACCCACACTAATGAACTGGAATTGATGACTTGTCACAATTCATAAATTAATGCTCCTCCTTGCAATACAATCGCAATCCCCAACTAGAAATTGCTTTGTTTCATAAGACACGCCACATGAAAAATGTGTTGATCTCTTTCTGATATTTAGATCGTTCGCATTATGGTTGGATAATTCAAAGCATTGGTTTTAGCAAGAATTTCATGCTTTTATGAGAAAAAACGACTGCAATTTGTAAGACAGTTTCTCTAATTTCACTCTCTGGGAGTCTATTGAAGGACTACCAGATTTTACAATTAAATGCATTGGGAATAAGGGTCAATGATTTCAAGTAACTTTGCCTCTTGATGTCATCATTAATATATTTTCCATATGTCTTCCTTATTGTCCTATAGTGAATAAGATCGCTAAGTTTTCATCAGCTTTTCTGAATTGCTTATTGGACATTCTACGTGCTTTGCAGAGATGATGAACCAAACAGATCTTGTGCATTCTGATTTATCAGAGTCCTTTTTATGTAAAGCTTTTGAGATAGTAATGGCTTTGGAACACACACGCTTGATTGCCTCTATAGTGAACATCTTGGCTTACTCTAGTGATCTAGATGTGGTAAGATGTGATGAACCAAACT